TTGGGGGGTTTAGGGGGTTTAGGGGTTTAGGGGTTTAGGGGTTTAGGGTCTCTGGGTAGTTATAAATGGGGTTATAAGTAGGGTAACTAGACTTGTAACATATACCAGGGGACTTATAACCCCACTTCTAGCTACCCATAAACCTCCAAGTAGGACCGTGAGGACTTCTTTGACTGTCAGATGTTCACCAGATTTGAAAGGACTGCTGTGATAATCGCTACCTTCCCCTGCTGCAGCTACTTCGATGCCGTGGTGAAGGCATTCATGGTGGTTTCTCGTGCCGTGAAGGAAGTTGGGCAACAGTTCTTCAAGCCTTCAGCCGATAAAACCCATGCCATTATCAACCAAAATACTGAACATCACAAGCAGAGTCCGAAGTATCTTGGCCCAGCGACAGCTCTGCACCGTCACGGAATCGTAGAGACCGGCTCCCGCAAAGCCTTCCAAATCCTGAAGCACAGCCAAAGGCTTCGACTTCACAGTTGGGGGCCTTGCTTCTTCATGGGGCCCTATCTTTGGGGACTGGGCCCTTCGCTAGCCGAGTTAGAAAGGCCTACACAGGGTCGAAGCTTGCATCAAGCCGCTCCTCGTCTAGACACAGAACTTCTCAAGGCAATGCCTATAACTCCCACATTGACAATGTCTCTGACCGTGGCCGTGTCAAAATCATTGCTACTGTTGCCACTGCCTTTCTCTGACTGGTGCAGCGTTTCAACTAACATGACTGTTGGCCCCCTGATGTAAAGCCCTAACCCCAAATAAACAGCCGCCAAGCCCTCTGAACCAGCCCTTGCCTCATACCGAAGGCAACTGAAACGCGCGGAACACGCGCTGACATCCGAAATCCTCGAAGCTCTGGCTGCAGAATTCTGAACTTCGGGAGCCTCTCCGTTGGAGTCTGATCGGAAGATGATCGTTCCGCCTGAACAGAACCGGGAGTCCACATAGACGAGGGTTTCGGCTTTAAAAGGCTTCTTGGAAGGTTGCTTAAGGTGCTCGGTCTATGCATGCCCAAAACAAACGATAAAACATGTTATGCAAGCGGAGGTCTTGAGACAAGACTTCCAGAGCAGCAATCCTTCATATCGTTGCCCTAACTGGCTCTCGTAGAAACCGGGCAGAGGGTGTCATAGGGTCGACGGGTTTGATGGCTGGGCCCAATTGTCTAAGCATGCTTTTCAGCTTCAGCTATGGAAGCCGCATGGAACTGCCACGACGAGTCTACACTTCGGAAGGACAACAGCGAAAAAAAAAAAAAAAAACAGACATGCTCAAGCCGGGTCTTGTATGGACTCTTCCAGTAGGCTCCTCAAGTTGAGTAGCTTCCAGAGAGCCCGAACACCGTCGTCCATTGTGCCGCAGAAACTCTCAAAGTCCTGGTTTTATAGGTGCAGTCACAAGTGATAGCAGGAATGGCTACTCTAAAATTAAACCCGAATTGTAAGCGCAAAGCATATATGTCAACCGGAAGCTGTCACTAACCAACCTCTGTACCCTCAGCATTTTCCCAACTTCAACTGCAAAGCTTGAATGAACCGTGCCTTCCGGTGCGAAGACGCCTTCTGGCTTTGAGGGGAACACGTGGATGGTGATGGAGGCGCCTTCGCTTCATCCCAGATGAAACTTTGGGACGGACAGTAGGGAGCATTCAACTCATGCACCGAAAGGTTGGCATCCTTCTCATCATGCAGGAACGAAAGTGGGACCCAACTAAGTGAGTGGTGACAAGCACGAAATAAGCCGCCACCCCAAGACCCGTCAGAACAACGCTACACTTAGATCTTCGGTCTTGTTCCTATGTCATCGGACTACGGCTACCATTCCGACATTCATTGCTACCCCTCACAAATTCTGACCTTATCACTGATAAACTGACCGCGATCATGCTTACAGCCTGGTGTTGGTTCTGACGCATCATATGTCCAGGACTTTTGAGCCCTGAACTCTCCACAGCAAAGGCTGAGGCTCGGGACCATCAGCAACACATTAGAAGTCGACATGCATCGCTGCGGAAGCCGTGAGAAGTCCCGATATCTTCTCTGTATCTTGTGTCTGTCCACCTGTCTGATTGATTGTCTAACCAAGTATCTTGCGCACATACATAAGTCTAAACGTGCAAACACATTATAAAGCGCTGATACACACGTATACATCCACCGCCAAAGCCACCCGAACACGAGGACAAGAATCCGAGCCTTGAGCCGCAATGCAGCCCTACGAAACTTTGCTGAAGTTTCTGAAAGCCCTGTCAAAGCTTCCTGGGATGTCAAGATGTAAGCCTTCAAGCCCGCAAACGGCCTCCATCGCCGACCGACGCGGAGAGGGCCCGGCCAGGGGAATTGCTCACCTGCGTTTTCCTTTCGGATTTAAGGTCCCTTTAGGTGTATACTTGCGTCACGTATGGGTTTTCACCCAGTTCTTCAGCATGGAGTGTGAAAAAGAAACAGAGTATGAGTTTCTAAGTCCGAAAGAACGCCTGTGCATGAACATTTGCTTTCTTGGAAGGATTCTTGGAGCAAGATGGTGGGAAGTCAAGAAATTAAGATCGCTGCAAGCTGCAGTGCCGTGTTTGCTGTTGATGGTGCAGGGGCTTTCCCCGTCAGTGAGATCGCCGGCAACACACCGAGAGCCCTGAAACATAAACTTCTTCGAAATCAGTTTGGCTTTGGCAGGGTTTGGGTGTCACGACGACCCAGTCGCAGCCGATCAAAACACATGTGCCAGAGGTGCTTGGCTCAACATCCACGCTCCTCTCTGTAGTTGTAACGACGGAACCCTGCACCCAGAATGTTTACCCGAGGAAGACAACATAGGTCCTCGGGCCCCGAAGTGTAGGGCCGCACTGGCTTAGGACCGCAAGTGCCCGAAAGGTGTGACATGCCCCGAATGAAGACTTCCATTAACACGGCGGATGTCTGTGCTTCACATCCCAAAAGCATTCTTTGTGTGAAGGCCTGCCACGGCATTGTAGAGCAGGTTTGCCGGAAGCTCAAAAGTCTCTGCACCCAGAATACTGTGAAATCCAAATTCACCTCACGCCAGGCAAGGGGCCAAAGATTCTCCCAAGCCGACACACAGCTCCACCTGGACAAGGCCAGGAAGAAGTGCCGGAAACATGTCTGAGAGGTTTGTTAATTGCCGAATCTCCAACTGCTGGTCGGGTTGTTGACCCAAACCCTCGGAAGGATCTAGCAAGTAGATCTCCTAAGTTGGGACCCTATACTACTAAGGGCTCTTTATAGGGACTCCCATTAAGGGATCTACGGGTCTGGGGAGCGGTGAGCCTCAACCGTGGCGGCGACAGTAGCTTGGCCGCTTCTTATCACTACGCAACCCTGGTTTTTGAGTTCCAAATACCGAAACCGTAAAAACTGAACCAAGGTACCCGCTGCGGGTCGTGGTCGCGAGAATTGGTTGTCCTAGCCGTGTAAATACGACAAAGGCTGAAAAAACACAACTAGGTCAGAATCCGTTGGAGCACTCCTTGCTGAAGAATCACTGCGCAGGAAAGTTCACCCAAGACCCCAAACTCAGAAACACTGAAACGCCGAGCCCCAATCTCATAGTAAAAGAACCCTGTTACCCTCAGCTGCACAGAATCCTCGACAGAGGCTCCGGCCAGTTGCTCCCCCTTTGCAGCTCCCGGTAGAGGAGACTGGGTGTGGATTACGAAGGCATACCTCAGAGCAAGTTTATGTAGGATTCAGGACTCAAGTTTTGCGGGCCCAGTCTGTTCTGTTTTGCAGGCTGCGGGGTTCGGCCTCGACGGTTCGCGCGCTTGAAGGCTCAGGAGTCAGGAGTTTTAGTCCTAAGGATCTTCGGCTTGGTAGCTACACCTCTCACTTTGGACTAGCTCCGGATGTTGTGGTGAAGGCCAAGGGGGTTGTCGGCTGACGGCCAATCGATGACCCACAGATTCCCCAGGAAGATAACAAGAGCAGTGTCCTTCGATCTCAAGTTGTGTCTTGTCTAATTTTCGCATGCAGGTAATCAAGGAGCCTTACAGTAAATACTGTGTCACCGTTTTCCGCCTGGAATCAACAATGCCACGTACTGCCTGGCATGCACGCCCTGGACCTCAAGGCCATATGTTGAACAGCTCAATCAAGACATTGGGACTTCAGAAAGTAGACGGCCCACACATCTTTTCGAAACCATAGGTAACAGGAGCCTTACTGTATGGTAGGATGCTTGCTGCAAGGACCCCGCCAGAAAGGGCCACTGATTCAACAGGCCAACACCCCGTCTGCTGGTGAGTGGCTGGGCAAAGACCAGCGGCTGTACGAGCCTGTAAGGCCAGGAGCCAGGAATGATCAACTCCACGTGTCTTCGAGAATCAAAGGGAGGGACTCTTGAGTTACCACCAAAGCATGTAGGGAAGATCACATCCTGGGGCTTCGCTTTCGCGGGGTTCCTGCTCCATCTCTCAGGGCATCTATAGTCTCAGGGTGCGGAGTCTCTGAGGGTTGAGGGTCTACCATCATGAGAAAAAGGCTAAAAAGGGGCGTGAAGAGAAGAGGCAGAGCTCTCTACCGCAGCGCCGAGGTTCCAAAGAATCAGCGGGAGGCTTTCGGGTCCTCTGATCCCGGTCCTTCAAGCAGTGCTTCAAAATCCAGACGCTACATCTTTCAAGCCACGCCACACGGCAAGGTAGAGGGCGGAGTCAGGAACCTGCGTGGAGAGGGAGCTTGCAAGCAAAAGCCGAAATGGGACCCGACTCCAGGGTTGACGGTGTCAGGGATGCGAGCTGGTCAAGGGCTAAGTTTTCTGGCTGGGCGCAAGGGCTAAGTTTCCTTTGAGCAGTTTAGGGTTTTAGGGCAGGAGTTATGAAAATTCCGCTCTCCAGGGTCCACGCGAACCCGACACCTCAGAGTTCAAAGAACTCGCGGCGCCGATCTTCCCTGCGAGGACCCCACCAGGAGGCTGAAGTCAAGAGGCTGACTCAAAGAGCTTCGAAGCTCGGCTTGGGAGAACTGCTCTTTTGGGTTTGGGGAGTTCAAGACGGGCTCAAGGCTTAGCGGGGCAAATCTCGGAGGTCGATAGCTTGTGGGAAGTGAGTGCCTACGCCACCGGTGTCGTGGACTTTGTGTACTTTCAGGGTCCCAGGCGCCTTCATCTGCTTCCTGCTCGCCACTGCGCGATCCTCAGCAGCTCCGTCAAAGTAGCCAGGAGAGGCTGGTGCGAAGCTAAAGTGCATTATCCGTAAAAAACCGACAAAAACGAGGGTGGAGTTTCTTTCTTTACAAGCCCTCCACATGGTTGCCGAGTCTGAGTTGCCCGCATGGTACAGCACGGCTTGAAAACACACGTTCAGGGTTTAGGAACTCGTTCCCATTGAGATCAGCATGACCATTGTTGTTGTTCTTGGCACAGCCAAGCTCGGGATCAGCATCACTGTCATCACCCTTTCTGGCTGACTCCACAGCCGAAACCCTACAACCCCAAACCGAAAACCCGCGAGAGTCAAGACATAGAAAGGAGAAAGTGAGAGACAGCAGGCAGTTCGACCGAGGTGGAGGGTGGACTGACTAGCGGCTTCCTCATCTTGCCCTGTGCCCTGCATCTCCCAGCCCCAGAACCCAAAAACTTTGCGTGGAAGATCGAGGACCAAACAGGCAGCTTCGCAGTGATGCTATATGTAAGACTACTCGGGCATTTATCCTTCTAGTTACATTCTACTAAAACCATGCTACGCCCGAACCCTAAAACACGAAGACCGACATCCCGAATCGCAATACCCTAAAGCCTAAACCCCGAAACTTTTGTTAGATCTTGGCCAAGGTGCTGTCCACTTTGAGGCCCAAACCCGGCAAAGCGCTGCCTTCCAGTCGCCCAGGTCCGATCGTCCCAGCGCCTCCGGCTTCTCCGGGAAGCTTCCAGTTTAGGGTCTAGGAGTTTAAGGGTGTGGGGTTCTGGGTGTGTGGTTTAGGGTTTAAGGGTTTGGGGGCATTAGGGCATAGGCTTGAGGGCTTGGGTTTCAGGATCTAGTTAAAGCTTGTTCTGGCAAGGCTTTGGCTTTCCAGCTTGGGGGTCTTAGGGAATAGGTATGTTCCAGGTGCACCCTTTGCCCCAGGCTGTCCACCCATCTTCGAGCTCCGGCTCACAGTCGTCCGCAAGAAATGCAGCATCAAGATGGACATGGTGGATTGTATTGGGCTCCCACAGAAACTCCGGACACCTCTCCCCTAGTCATTTTGGTGCGGCAGGTTTGAAATTAATTTCAGGACAGTTGGTTCGGGTGTTTGCACCGCCCGAGATGGCATCAATGCTCGCTATTTCGATTTACAGCCAAGATTGGACATGGTGCCACATTATCGCCGATGTCGTAGCCCCAGTTTTACCTTCAATTACTTTCCCAACCCGCGCAAAGCGTCGCTCTTGGGGGTGTATAAGTCCGTCCAGACACATGAGCTGATCTCTACTGAGCTGCACACACGGGCAATGCAGGAACTAAGCGTGTCTGGGGCTTCCATATGCAGTACGCCTCCAAGGTCTTTGCCCTTCCGCACAAGTATAATTAATAATGTAGGGGCCGTAATAAGTAAAATGAGGTTTTGGGCTCTTTTTATAGCATAATCATACTTAGGAACCCCCAGCGAAT